TAACCAAAATAAACTATAAGCATATAGCTAACATTTTTAACATATAATCTTCATAATTACCATTAGGTGTACATCCAAACACCCTAAGAACAGGAACCTTAAGTATCTGCGTTCCCCAAAAYTCAGAATACAGAGAATCGAAACCATCAGCAGGATTACTCATGTAATGGTCTATTGTGACCAAACTCACATTTTGAACAATGTTAGAGTTGTCCATAGTTGATAGGAATTCTGGTATTAGTTATTAGTGTTATTACGTTATATTCTAATGGAACAAATTTTTTAAATTCCACAAAGGCACAAAGTAGATACTTGTTGAACTATTCATCATTTCAACATTGATGAATATTGAATAAGTAATGAATAACGTTGGCGATTGGCGACGATTGTTTAAGAGTAAAGAATAGTACTCAACTGCAAAACTACCTGCTAGTAAGAATTTAGTATTTGTATTTTGWACAGGAAGACGWAAGTACGATACACAAATACACAATTATTTTTGAAAGTCTATATGAACTGGAGGGAGAATTCTCTTGAGATTGAGAATACCGCTATCAGGCATTATATGTTTATGTTTTAAACTCAACATTTTCTTATCGATCTTTTCTGATAATACATCTTGTGTGTAGCCGTGTAGGTCACATAAAATAAATATTCGTGTCATGATAAAATTATTTATTTTATTTTATTTTATCATGATTCGTGTAATAACTAATAACATTGACTTTAAAATATTTGAAAATCAATGGTAACAAATAATAATAATRAATAAGAATATTGTGTCATACCAATCGTAAAACTCGCATCGTAAGTCTTACTCTTGTGTTCTGTATCATAGATCGTGTATACAATTATTAATTTATTAACTTAATATTTATCTCACSTGTAAGGCTGTAAATGTTTATTAAATTATAATATGATCTAAGGCCATAGTGCCGTACATCGTACATTTGTAAAATGAAATCTTTGTGTTTAGTTTTACGACCATAGACATAATATTATAAATATTTATTATGTTATATGTTTATGAATTATCTGTATATCGTGTATGACCTTATGTTTACTTCTTGTCAGTTGTCACTTGATTAATGTATACCTCAACTGTCAACTATATAATCAAGTATAGCAAACTACTTCTTACCTCATAGAAGTTAGCACATAGTCAGTTATGCCTTGTTTACACGTGAYGAGTACTCGGCCGAGCACTGTCCCGTGTGAACTCAAGGAACCAGTACTCGGCCTAGTAATCGGACGAGTAAAATAAGCAGGCGAGTGAATAAAAACAGTTTCTATTCGCTGGGCCGAGTGACTACCCCCACTACTAAGACCGAGCAACATAACGAGTGACACTGCCGAGTACTCGTCACGTGTAAACGAGGCATTACACTTAGTACTTTTTATTTGCGCTAAAGCCATAGACCTTATACTCTTATACTCTTATACTCTTATACTGAGTACAAGGTCTATGGCTAAAGCAAACATGCTCTTTGTGACGTATTGACTGAACCCAATGTAACTTGAGTAAAATTCAACTGACCAAATTCTAAATCCAAAATCCAAATAATTTATTAGAAATTAGACAGTACGTACTGCGGTTCAACATCATTTACAATAATATTATTGACTAATCGGTAATAATATATTTTTTATTTAGGTGGAGTTGTTTTGCATGGCTAGTTTTTGTTGTTGTCATATGAGATGGTAAAAGTTGTACTAATTCTTGTTCATGTCTGCTCTATAACGTACWATAAAACATTTAGCTTTGAAAATACTTCTTGTTAACACTTTCTTGAGCACTCAGTTTCAATAGCTGTTGTGAACTTATGGTGATGTGGTCAGATCCATCGTCAACAAATATGGCTAATGGAAACCAATGGATGAATCCAACATTTTATAAAAATATGAACAACGAAAAAAGTTTGTATCAAACAGTTAACAGTGTGATGAAGGTTAGATTTAAGACAAATTTATATCTTCTAGTGGATTGGGCAAGTTTGGCTCARCATTGGATAAAAGTGGAAAAAACTTCACTCGCTATTTCCCCTGGACAACAAGTAAAGATTCCACTTTCTGAACACAGTTTTCTCAAACTCGGTCAGCAAGTAGATGAAGTACCTAAGAATTCTTCAAACTTAGCAGCAGCAACAAATAAAATGCTTAGTGATCATAATATTTCATGTCCTGATACAAGTTACTAATTTACCAATGACTACTTGTGTGAAAATCTTTATACAAAAATTTATCTTTTTGTTACATTTATTTTCTAGGAAATAATATAGAGAGACCAAGAGCTTTGAATACATGGACTTTGCAGCAAAAACAATCRATTTGGTATTGGGCTTCTACTTCAACAGTTCCACCAACTAAAACACCTGTTACAGAGTCAGTTAATTCTCTGAGACCACCTTTTGTACCTCCTATATTATCTGAACCACCCACATGTTTTCCAATGTTGACACCAAACAGACCATTTCCACCTAATGTAAGTTTTTATATTTCAATAATATGAATTAATTTATACTTACTTATATTATTTTTAGAATTATTGGGCAGGGCCCAATACTACAGTTTTATCACCTTCTGAATTAGATCAATGGAATRAACTTAATATGATTTCCAAAGTGGATGATAGAACTCAAGATCCATCATTTATTAGTAAGTATGCTACCTTATATTACTAAATCAGAATCAAAATAAAAT